TAAGTTTATATATCCTTAGTCCAGCAGTGTGAGATTCCAATAACAAATGTATTAACTAAGTGTGGTCCAAATCCTTTCTATATATATATATATATGCTGCTGAAAATATTGCCACTTACTCTTACACAATATAAGGTACATTTTGAATATAATGTTACCGCAAGTAATCATGACACATCATGTAAGTTTATGCATCCTTAGTCCAGCACTGTGAGACCCCAATAACGAATGTATCAACTAAGTAAGTTCCAAATCCTTTACATATCTATATATACTGCTGAAAATATTGTCACTTAGTCTTATACAATATATAGGTAACATTTTGAATATAATGTTACCACAAGTAATCATGACACATCATGTAAGTTTATGTCCTTAGTTCATATGTGTTAGACTCTAATAACGAGTGTATCAACTAAGTAAGTTTCAAATCCTTTATATATCTATATATACTGCTGAAAATATTGTCACTTAGTCTTATACAATATAAGTAACATTTTGAATATAATGTTACCGCAAGTAATCATGACACATCATGTAAGTTTATGTCCTTAGTCCAGCACTATGAGACTCCAATAACGAATGTATTACTTAGTAAGTTCCAAATCCTTTATATATCTATATATACTGCTGAAAATATTGTCACTTAGTATTATGCAATATAAGTGACATTTTGATTATAATGTTACCGGAAGTAATCATGACACATCATGAAAGTTTATTTATCCTTAGTCCAGCAATGTGAAACTCCAATAACGAATGTATTACTTAGTAAGCTCGAAATCCTTTACATATCTATATATGCTGCTGATATATAAGTAACATTTTAGACATAATGTTACTGCTTGTAATTAAAGTTAAACACATTCCACGTTAATTGGTCTAGGGATTTAGTTTATGTACCCTTAGTCCAGCAGTATATGTGCTAACCAATAACCTTGCAATCATATATGTTGGCTTTTATTAGCATTGGCTCATATGTCGCAGCAGAAAGAGATGTCGACAATCGATTTAGAATTTTCTTTGTTACCAAGGATATTGCAATTCAGTAATTATAAGATGATATTAGTGCATTAAAAGTCTGTTTTAATAGAAGAGAAAATTTTTAGTTTTGGACATATTTATTTATAGTTATTAATATATTAATTACTTTATGTAAATTTATTTTAAATATAATTAAATAATAACTTTCATTTTTTGTGTTTATCAATATAAACGAAATTGCTACAGCATATGAATATATTTCTAATTTGATGTAGGCTATTAGTTATCAGTATCTGTTGTCCAGAGACATTAATAATAAATCATATAAGCCATCATCTCTAAGTTAAAAGTAAATACCACTATTCGAGTATAAAATATAATTTTTAACATTGTAAAATCAAATCAACTGAAAGTATAAAAATGTATTAGAATCAATCTGTTACTTATTTTATAAGCAAAGGAACAATTGGCTTTGAAATAGATATCAATTTAGGAAAGATATTTTTTTTCAAAATTTTGTGATTCCTTAAAAATGGTGAACTTTAAAATTGTTATACTTTCACAGTAACTATGTTCAGAGCCTACGTTCAATAAAGCTTTTAAAGTGAATCTACGAGTTCCTAAAGATTTTAATGATATATGTGTACTGTTTTCTTTCTACTCACTGAGCTTTCAAATTTTCCTTCACAATATACTTCCATAACTGCTGAATATTAATAATGTGTCTCTTTTTCTTTTCAATAGAATTGTCATCCTTATTGCTTTTCGAATCTTGAAGTTCCAGGAACTTCTGCTTAATTACTGCTATTAACACCAATTCTACGATTCTTTTGTAGTACTCTTCCTTTTTCAGTGCGGTGTCAACCTTCTCAGTTTTATCCTTAGTTACTAGCGGAACATTTTCTTTATTTTTTTTAGCTTCTAATGCGGCGGCTGCTTCCTCTAATTTTATAGTTTGCTTCAGGCTAACATATAACAAAGAAAGTAACCCAATAAACAGAAGAAATGGTATTGAAATGATAATGATAGGAAATAGAACAGCCATTCTCTCTAAGTGTCCAAAATAAATTTACTATTATTTTGGAGGAGTTGAAATGTCGAAACTTACTAACCAAAAATATAAATAAAATGAATATATATGTAATGTAATTTATTAAATAGTTTTTTCAAGAAATTTAGGATAACTTAGTTAATTTTAGTTTAAAACAATTTTTTGTAAGTTGTAGGTAAAAATGCACTTGATATAATAAAGGACCAATTATTCTTTTATGCACAAGGCTGAAACCCCAACCTATTCTAACTTATATGTTAATCCAATTAAGTCTTTTAAGAACTAGACATTATTTTTTTTTCTGTTAAAAATTCTTTTTCTTTGAAAAAAATAAAATACGGACGAAAGAGTATGCGTCTATAAAAAAAGTCTGGAGGTGTGATGGGCATGTTTTTTTTCTTCTTTTTGTTGAAAATTATGAAGCTGTGATCCAAACTATTCAAACTGATCGTTCCTGTGATATGATTAACACATTATTTGAGTTAAATTTGAAACTATATAGTAAGAAAAGTAGTTTCAATAAAACGGTGTGACATATATCACAATTCGTTATGTTTTGGCTCTGTTAGTCGAGAAACTTATTGGACGAGTTCACATCACGTTTTGGTGATGTGAGTTATACACTATAGTATTGTGAATTGTCATTCTAAAGATTAGGATCCACTTATACGTAAGGTGCAAATAGTGCATTTAAATAAAAAGTTGATCAAAGAAACTCAATACAAAAAGAATGAATCGATTTCTATAGTTTCAATAGTTTAATTGTAAAATTTTGACCTACGGATTTGTGTTCATATTTTTATGGAATAGAAAAAATCCACCAAAGTGAAAAGAATAAAGAAAATCAAGCATAATAAGAAAAAATTTATTCTCAAAAACCTATCTTTATTTATGGTATCTGGAATTGTCAATATTAGAATTTGAATATTCCTAGAAATGAAATATTCTTCATAAGGACTGTTATTTTAACACCTCTAAAAATTAAGTGACTCAAATATTAGCACCAACAAATTATTTATTTTTTCAAACTGATCTTAGTTTCTTTATTTTATAAAAAAATCATTTTTACCGATGGAGCTTGTATCCAGTAAAGTCTTTATAAGCAGCATAATTTTATCTGGAGTCGAAAAGAACCCTTATGTGTTCATGGGCGACATTTATGTACACAAAAGTATACAGTTTAATGTTGTTTATGGTCTGGAAGTATATTTAAAATTAAAAATATTATATGAATTACCGGCAGAGAAGATTGCCACAACACATTTGTTACTAACTTTTTGTTAGAGAAGCTAGTTGACTTCGATATTGATTATATGCGGTGCGAACAAGATGGTGCAATATAAATACGTTATTGGAATCCTTTCCATAAAGTATTTGAAAGGATATAACGTAAGGTAAGCAATTTCTGAGAGAAGATTGTTGAGTATGACGGAATGTTTTCTATAATAATGTATTTTCATAAATTTCAGAATGAATTTCTAAATTGTAAAAGAACTATTGCTTCATAGGAAAGTACATTCGAAATCCTCTAACTGACATAGATTAGAGTTTTGTATGTTCATGTAAGTATTTAATTTAAATGTTATTAATATTGATATACAATTAATTTGAGCAGTCTTTCTTTATACTCAGTTTCAAATAATTTTAATTATCTGTAACTAATTTTCTAAGTACTTGAAGCTATTGAAGTTGTACAATTTTACAATAAGCCTGCAAACCCATAGGCATTTTGTGATATAATGTATTCTATGCCTCAATCTACCAGCTAATAGATACTTGTAGCAATAGAATAAAGTAGTGCTTGAGCGTAAAATATATTTCGATTTCAAACATTTGCAAAGTGTAAATTCTGAAAAGAACATTTCACAATAAAATTGCAACAAAACAAAAAAATGAAAAATTGAAAAATGGAAAATTGGAAAATTGGAAAATTCACACTTGATGATAATGTTTAGCAAATTGCCCACCAGCAGCACATATCAAATACAATTACAAAATGCTCCCAACAAGGAATTACTGTTTGCATGCTGGTAAAGTTGCAAGCACAAGGACGAGCATCCTTGAATGAAACTGAAATGGTTCTTGGTTATTGGTTCTTGGTTGTTGGTTGTTGGCTGTTGGTTGTTGGTGTGGGTATGTAGTTTCATTTGATTTCCCAGGTGTCAGCTAAGTAGAGGTTTATTGTGTTTATTGTTTGAACTTATTTGCTTCTGTATTGCTGCCAAAGGATTTCAGTACAACTACAAAATGTAGTAATACCCGCATTTATTAGCACCAAACAAGCATTTCAAAAAAAAAATGAACAAATATTTAAACGTGAAAGGGTTGTATTGCTTCAGGTACCATTATTTTGTTCAATAGCAAATAAACTACAACCACTGTATGTTTCTTTTCAATTAGAATTTTTGTATTGATCGATATTGTGGTATTTGAAGTAGTTCTTGTTTGTGCATCTAACAAACAAACTATTTGTTTAATAAAAAATATAAAATTTCTTTCATTTTGTATATACCAAGTAAGCTTGTGAAGTTGAACTGCATTTTAAAGTTTTGAGAGTTGACTTTAAATAATTTTAAAATGTCTTCGTTGTCAACACATAAAAAATGCTGGAAAAATTGTTTTGCATTTATGTGTTCCAAGATGTTTCAAAATATTTTGATTGATAGACTCACTGCAATCCAAATGGCTGAACACGCCTGACGAAAACACCAACAGTTGACTATAACACGAGTAAGCTCAGTATTAAAAATGTATCACCAATTTTCCAACAACATGAACGTGCCAAAATGATTGATTGCCTCGCAAGGACTTCTGCGGTCAGGTGTGCACAGTCAGACAAATAAGATAGAGAATTCATTTAAACGTTCACAGTTCCACAAATATTTTCCAATTTTGTGAAGGTGAAGCTCACTCATCTGTTAAAGAAAAAATGTAACAAAGACTTGTGGTTTGAGCTTAACAAAATACTTGAGTTTTGCAAGACTCCAGACAGACAGTACAGGATTTTTCTTTTTCATTTTACAGGCAGTAAGGATGAAGGAGTGTTCCTGATGTGGCGGTTGTGGCTTGTTAATTTTAGCATGTTACCTGTCAATAGCATGAAAAATGATACAATTTGTATTGTAAGTCTTGTACTAGATGTCGGGCTTATAGCTGTTGATTGTGTTTTTCATATTGTTGACACGATTTCGGTTTAAAAATTAATCTTTTTTATTTATGCATTCACGTCGATTAAAAACCAATTTTTCTTAGCTTATAAACAAATTGATTAGTTACTGTTAACATCTTTAAATCTGCTCAATTAAAGAATGATATTTTAATTTAAATGAAATCCTTGCGATAACGATTTCAATTCCACATTAGAGCGAGAGACACAAAATATGACATATTCTAAATAATAACTATCTTTCCTGAGGATATATGAGCATTTATTTGTGATTCCTAGTATTGTATTATTCCTTACTTTCTTAAGAGTAAAGTATTCTGTATCCATTTTTATTTTCAACATCCTGTATCGCTGTATTTAGTTGGAATATTTAGTTTTAACGCTATTTGAGCCAAGTGCTCTTTTATTGTGTGATGCTTTAATGTTGCAAGGATATCCTAATTTGTCCTCAGCAATTCACACATATTACCATTTAATTCCGCGGTTTCAATGCTAACGTGAAACGATTGATGTGCTTTCTTGTGGTATATGGTTATGACTGGACGCACTTTAAACTAATGGAAACATACTACTTCTTGCGGCCAATGGAAAATGTGAAACTTGTTGTCATTAGTTTGAGTGGGGCATAGCTTACAGGACTCCGTAGATATATTCAGTTTGTTGATGATTGTAGTAAGGTATTGTACAATTTGTTTATTGATAGCTTAAGTATAAAGTCGCACAAGCACATATGTTGCTCTAGTCGCCTAAAGTCAATAGTTGTTCTGGAGAATATAAAAAAGTTTACAAAGCAATTGTAAAAGTCCGTAAAATAAAGTTGTGTGAGTTGGCTAACAGTTTGAAGATTTCGGAAGTTGAAGTATTGGAACAGCATTTAGTATTTTACGAAGACAATGATCCAATTTAAAAGTTTATGGATATAATGATTAAATTTAATGAATTGTGCTTCAAATTGCTTTCCCACTCACCAGGCTCTTTCGATTTGGCCACCAATGACTATTACCTTTCTGGAAATATAAAAAAGATGTTCCAGGGAAAGAAATTCGATTGATATAAAGACGTGATTGCCGAAACTGGGATCATTTTTGAGACCAAAGGCAAGTCATTCCACAAAAATGAAATCGAAAAATAAGAGAAGCATCAGAATAAATGTATCAATCCTGAAAAAGAGTATGATGAAAAAAGAGTTCTAATAAAAATTGTTTTTTTTTGCTATGAAGAGCAATATTGGTGCATATTCTGTTGTGTGCTGTAGAACCTTAGGCAATAATCGTTGGGAGTGTTCGAGACAAATAATCTTCAAAAAATCATTGGCCTCTTACACGTTGACAAGGAGAATTGAATTAGATTAAACGATGAGCTGTACGAGCTATACCGCAATATTTGCATAATTAAGCGAATAAAAATTCAGGGATTTTGCTGTCGTGGTCATGTCGTACGTATGGAGGAAAATGCTTTGGCTAGAAAAGTGTTAGATTCGGAGTCCGCTTAAGAAAAATGTAGTAGAGCACATCCGTATCTTCGGTGAGTCAACCAGGTAACCAACGTTATGAAAGCACTCACTACTACCAATAGACGAAAAGAAACAACTGGTCCGGCCGGTTAGAGGAGACTATTGGGCGCGGCCAAAGAAGAGATATATCTGTAATAGTAAATAAATATGTAAGTAAGTCAGTTAGTTACATTGATACCATTTAGGTACACCATATTAGTAAGCTAATCTTTTAGTCAAAATTATATAAGACTTATATTAGTCTTATTTATGAATCACATAAAATTTAACTAATTTACAAGCATATTTTAGTGGCAATTGTAGGATTGCTAAGTTTGCTTAGGTATATTTTACTGGTTCTGTTAATCTTTTTATTTGTGATATGTAAAAAATCTGCAAGAAAAAAAATCTATA